GCTCTTGGATTCAGCATGGAACAGATGAAGAAGCACGACATGCTGTTGAACGAGACTGGTGTGCGCGGTAGCAGCTCTCCCGTGACGGTGGTGAAGTCACCTGTTACGCTGAGCAAGGCGAAGCGGCACTACGGCTGCAACACCCTCAAGGGCATGGAGATGTTCAATTATAAAGGGGCATATGTGTGGTCGGTGCGCAATGCGAAGGACGAGTTGATGAGTCCGTTTGGTGCAACAGTTGCCGGATACTACACTGCACTGACGATGGCGGCGTTTGAGGACCTCGGCTACTACAGGGCAGTGTGGGGGATGGAGGAGCCGATGGTGTGGGGCAACAACTCCGGCTGCGAGTTCCTGGATAACCCGTGCTCGGAGAAGACTCCCACCACTTACCCCGGCATGTTCTGCGATAAAAATGATGAGTTGTCGATTCGCTGCACGTCCAACCGTCAAGCCATCGGGATGTGTTTTCGAAATTTTAAGGCTCCTGAAGCCAGCAGTGACGAAAAGGAGACCTGTTTTTTTGTTTCACAGCCTGATTCTGGAAAAGAACAACTTTGCTCAGCGGAGCATAGGAACGACATCATACCGGGATCCCTCCGTGGAAAGGGCTCGTGGTGCCTCGATGCAGAATCATTCACGTTCAAGAGTGACACTGCCTCCAATGGGAATTTTGTCGTACACGCAGTGTGTGCGATGGTGCAGTGCGAGGAGGGCAAGGTGAAGGTGAAATATCTTGGCGGGAGTGATTTTGAGTCGTGCCCCGAAGGGGAGTTCATCACGCCCAAATCGCCGCACTTCAAGGGCGGCGGAAGGGTCAAGTGCCCGAGGTACGAGGAGGTGTGCACCATCGCCGCCGATGGCAGCAGCCTCATCAACCTAAAGAAAGACGACCACGGCAAAGGTGACCATGGCAAAGACGACCACGGCAAAGGTGACCATGGCAAAGACGACCACGGCAAAGGTGACCATGGCAAAGACGACCACGGCAAAGACGACCACGGCAAAGACGACAACGAAAATGACGACAACGAAAATGACGACTACGGCAAAGGCGACCACGATGGCTGTGCGGCTGCTGTTGTTCTTTCCAGTCTGCTCCTCGCCGTGATTGCTGCGATGGTGGTGGCGACGGTGCCGCTTTGAGCAGTGGCCGCAGCAACAGAGCACTTCCTGCGGCGA